ATGGTCGTGATCGTCTTCACCGTCCGATCCTTAAGATGGAATATAAAAAAAAAAAAGTATACAAAGAGTTTATTTACTATTAATAAAAAGATCTTACAATCACTATTGTCCCTCATATTTTAAATCAAGAGATTGTGATAAAAAGATCTTACAATCACTATTGTCCCTCATATTTTAAATTAAGAGATTGTGAGTATATCATTGACCCGATTCAAAGTACAAAACTTTTTTTTTCCAACTTTGTGACATACCAAAAGTATCAGATTTCACATCGGATGATTGTACATAATTGTGACCACCTTGTATAAAAAGGTAAATGGTCTCATTATATATAATCCCATGTGAAATTTAGTGGCTAATAGCAATTGTGACCTCCTTGTAATAAAAATAAATGGTCTCATAATATACAGTCTCAGAATTTAAAACCCTGGAAATGCCACTATTAGGGTTGATAATTATGTGAGGTCAACCAAATTGGTTTCGAGTATGAACCTAGTTTGAAATAGTCTGGTTTGGATTTACTTGACCTTAACCTAAGTTTTCACCTACATTTCAATTAGGCTTGGATACAAACAGGCCGACTTCATCAAAGTTACCCGAACGGTATGTGTGTTTGTCGGTGAACAAATATAGATCCCATAGGCCTAGCTCAGTTCTAGAAAATATGGATTCAATTGGTATCGGTTTGATATGTAGAGCACCAAATTACTCCAAAAATCACAAAAATAAAAACAAATGAAGAAAATACATCTGATGTTGGCAACATTAGAATAAGTTTAAACTGAAATATAAAATATAAGAGGTGCAATTTTTATAAGGATGAGGCTGTAAACAATCAAAGTAAGATGTACCTTATGTAGTGTAAAAAAATATTATTTCAGCATCAAATTTGTTTTTTGATGGTCTGAAAATTCATTTTCATCACTAATTGTAACACTTAAAGATTGAAAATAGTGTAGATCGAGTAGGTTTATGAATACTTGAAAATCTTGAAAATTGACGGTCTAGATAATACATTACAAGATATACTATTTGCAATACTTGAAATCTATTTTTTCTCATGTTCTACACGTCTTGAAGTTGAGATTATCAAATTTAGGGCCTCACCTATTATAAACATTTTTCAAATATGAATGAGTAATGACACTATGAGACCCTCCCACACCTATATGAGTAGGACCCCAAATGATTACTATTAAATTTTGACACAGATCCTGATAAAAGTTATCACATGAGTGTGAGATTTGGGTGAATGGATTTATTGATAACTTTTCTAGATATCTGTATCAAAATTTAATGATGATCAGTTGGAGTCTTACTCACATGGATGTGGGAGGGTCTCATAATATTATTATCAATATAAATACTCAACATAAAATTTATAAAAATATAGATCAAAATATAATTTCACACAATGATTACTGTTCGAACTTAAAATTTTATGAGGATTTACAAAACAAAAATCTGGAGAAGGAGAATATAGCATTCGAGTTGTTATAATGTTGGTAAGCTTTACAGCATGCATGCAGCACAACGCCATTTGTTTCTCTCACCTAGGAAACGCGGTTGCCTCATTTACCGATGAAAAGAGGAATGAATTGACTCGATCATTTGTCCCGCTTGGGACACGCAGTTCCTGCTCTCTCCATCATTGTCCAACTATTGATTGGACAGTGATGAGGTTAGTGTAGAAAAATCGGATATAGGCTCGGAAGCAACGGACTTAATCGGTCCGTTCTACCGTTATAACCAATTAAATCTCAGACAGTAAAAAAATACTAACCAAAATACAATAAAAATATTAAAAAGTATATTTAGATAATGATTAAACAAAACACATCCAAAGGAAATTAAAAATTAATGAACAAAATGAATTTAAAAAAATCGATTTATGCTTAAGGGTATTTTTGAATTTTTTTTTTAAATGAAAAATGTAATAAAAAAAAAGAAGAAGTAATTACCATTTTTTTTTTGCCATAATGATGAGAAGTATTAAAAAAAAATACATTATAAACAAAATCTTTTACTTTTTGGGCCTTTATATAATTTTTTTAAATACTCAATTGGTCACCAAAACTAGCTGAAACCAAAACCTGGTAATAGTCGGTTATGATCTAACTAAGCGGTTATCGGTTAGAACGGACTATTTTTCCAACAATGGATAACACCCATTACCATTAAATTAGTATGGTCGAGTAATTAAATGTTGGGACCTGGTTTCTCTGAGTTTTCTTAGTCCTAGGATTTATATTTATATGTAGGACCTAATTCTTTTTTTTAGAGGATTTTGGATTTAATGTTTCGGATTAATTAAATGTATTTTAAAATTAAAATATAATAATTTTATGAGGAAAATATCTTTTTACGAGAGTTTAATGAAAAAAATATCTACACCATCAATTTAAACTTTATTTTTGAGGGACCACCCATTTGGGCCCGTACAACAATTTTCCATATTAGAAGGTGAATTTTGTTTTCTCTTTAAGAAAAGGAAAAAGTTTATATAAGGTTGCAACCTTATAATGTAGGGCTACAGATGCACCTCAAAAATCCATCGAAAAAGGTAGTTTTAATGTTGAAAAACCCTTTGATCGATCATCTTGACATCGAGATGTATGAACATAAAAAATAAAAGGATTTTAAGATTTTCATATGTTTATAGATCTACTTGATTTTAATCATTTTTAAAATTTAAAATTTTATAATTAGATATAAAAATAAATTTTGAGATAATCCTAAAAACATTTTACATCAAAACTATACACCATGATAAAATTTGAAGGCGCATCCATACGCCAACTGCACCCTTAAGAAAAGACTAGTCCCCGTAGCCCAGGCCCCGAAATGGAGAACGGAATGTGCTCCCGCACAGCAGGACGAATATAAATTTTACGCCTATTCTAAATAATTTCCTTCTTTGGTGAGCTATCGAAACTGCGCGAAAGGCACTTTTTGGGAGGACTTGAACAAGATCATTTTTCTTCTTTTTTTTTTTTTTTTTTAAGAAACATCATTTCTCGTTCTACTCATTTAGGTATGAGAAATAGCCCAGCTTGGTCTAATTACAAGATGCCACATAATGACAAAGAAAAAAAAAAGGGAGAGAGGAAAAAAAATATTGATTTTTTTTTTTATAAATAGATGAATTTTTATGTATCTACAAATATATAATTTATGGACGTAGGGATATCTAATCAAGTGAATAGACTCAACAACAATATCATGCATTAATTAGAGTTTGTCCAATATAGCTTGCACCACCCATAATTGAACGGACCTAATTTTAGGAACGTGGCTCTTTTTTGGCTACGTTAAACAAAATGATGGGTCCCCTACATATGGGTAAAAAAAAGGTCCCTTGCTTAGTGGTACGACAGAAGACATTTTGTTTTACCAGTGAAGTAGACAACAAGAACTTATTCCTCATCAGTCACTGGGAGAGCCATTCCTTTCATGTGAGGCAGAGAACTGGAACTTATTCCTATTTACTTAAAAAGAATCCAATTTTCCTTTTTATTATTTTTCGCAGGGTGGAGAAACAAAAATACCTCTAACTAATGGTGTGTACAAGTTCTGTGAAAACATTTTTTTCTTTTTGTCTGTATTTTTTTTTTCATTTTATACGTTACTAATAATGGGGATAGCCAACTTTTATTAGCTGAGAAAAAGTTTTGACGATGATGATGACATTAACAATGGGAATAAAAGGTCTAATATCATGTTTAAGCATCAGTCCCCGTAACCAACCAATGCCCCAACCTCATCTCTCTCTAGAAACACATTTAACAACCAAAAGTTCCAGCTTTGTGACCTCGTTGTAGATCATGGTTCAAGTACACAGCAAGCAAACGGTCTGTGTCTCATCCAAAGGTACCGCATACTTTTCCTTCATGTAAAAGAAAAAAAAACATAGAATCGATTAATAGAATAGCCCTTCAGCAAATTTTCGTTCTTTTTTTTTTTTGAACATTACTAGTACAATTATGTATAGAAAAGAAAAAAACTAACAACTCTATCTAAGAAAGAAAGCTAGCCGGGTCAGGACGGAACCTGCGAATTTTTTCTTTGTAAAGCCGCTCTACTTTTTTAGTGAACATCAGTCTATGAAGTCTCCAATATGGAGTGAATGTTCTTTTGAAGGATTGTATATTATCAGACCATTTTTTTTAGGTTAAAATCATTTTTAACCAATGAATGTGAAATTCAATGTATTCAAGTGTCTCACAACATTTAAATTTTTTTATTTGGGACTTTTGCTCAATCAATGAGCATCAAGACTAAGGGATTATAAATTAGTACTGCGACCCCCATCAACTTTGAACCGGCGATTTTTAAAACACTTTGGCTATTTCCCTATTCCATGTGATCAATTGGGTTTAATACAATTTCTTGAGACTGCCCGAGCCAGCAATATGTATTTCATGATACTATTTGGAGTCATGTAGCATCCTAGCCATTCCCCAATGCTGGGGTGCAAAGGTTGTTTTAAAAAAAAGGAGGCCGGTGACCCAGATCGTTTATCTAAAAAATTGATCCGATCAAACCTGAATCAACCAATAAAAAAATAAAAAATTAGATAAACAAAATATATGGATTGTTCGGTCAAAAAACCAACCAATTCCTCATATTTTGAGGGAACATGACTAGCCCCTCGGGCTCCTATTCTGAATCGGGCGGTTTTTATCCGCATCAATATTGGACGGCTGAGGGGTATTGCCGGAAAACACAATGACAGCATGGTAACGTTTTCGTAATATTTTCGAATATGTAGGCGAAGGTTGTATAAATATCCTGAAGTTTTGGACGCGTACCAAAAGGGGTTATTTTAAAGAGGGGCAAAAGGGTCAAACCCACCACCACCTGTCAGTCCCAATCATACAGGAGACAGTTAGCAAATCCGTGAATGGCATGCTAGCCAGAAGTGCAATTTGCATTCATAGAGAGAGAAAGAAGAGAGAGAGAGAGATTCAAAAGGAGAAAAAACCCTAGAAATCAAAACATTGACCAAAACACTATTGATGGCCCCTCCATTCCTATTTCTATCTAAAACAATATAGAAGTACAAAAAAATTTTGCACCCTTCTCGAGTAGACTCGGAAAATATACTAATTCTAAACCGAGTAGTTCTAAACAGACTCGGAAAAAGAGAGAGAATACATGATGATCGTCAAAAAAAAAAAAAAAATTACTCGACTGATTAAAGTCGAGAGAGAAATAATGACAGATCTAAATGTGAATAGGAAAGTCTAGTTTTGAATAGAGTTGAGAGAAAGTTAAGAGTAGTTGTGAATAGAGTTGAGAGAGAGTCACGAGAACTCTTTAACTGTAAAAAACTAAACATGCACGAGTGAAGGATGCCATGCATGTTTGAGAGAGACATTAGCAACTCAACTATGAACAGGCCTAATGGTGAATGGGGGCATATAAAAGAGTGATTCCAATCTCCTCGAAGCAAAACAACTTCCCCCGCTGCTTCCTATAGCCGTCAATGGCAATTCCGGCGACGGAGATGTCATCGACGACGACAATGCCGATATCAACGACGATGATGATGAGGACGATGGTGATGATGTTATCGACGATGATGATGGTGTTGACGTAGACGATGGCAGTAACGCCGTTACATGGTGATTCTGATTCATATCAACACCCGGTTGCTCGTCCTTCGCCCCTTCTCCACCCCTGGATTCAACCTCCAACTTAGAGAGAGAAAATGTACATGATGACACCGAAGCCGTGGCTTTCGACAACGACGACGGCAATGGCGAAGAAGGCGTGGCTGATTTTGGCGAGTTAGATTCAAACTGAAGCAACTCTGCCTCTCTATCTATCTCATCGCTTTCTCTCTCTATCTCATCATCATCAACCATGGCAGGTGATGGTGATGGAGATGAAGTGCGAGGGCTCAAACCAGAGTCGAGACTGGGCTCGAGCCCGGGCTTGTCGGGGTCGAGCTGGACGAGCCGGAGAGTGAGCCTACCATCTGATCGATTGGCCTTAAAGTATTCATGGTGCTTGACCTTGATTTCTTGGATTACTAAGCGACCGTCGTTTTTGTAGAAGCGTTTCAAGACCCATGGAGTATGGCATGGCTGGTTACCTGTGCGGGCAAGAGAGGGAATTGGGGGAGGGAAATGGTGGTCTTCTCGTGCTCGCCTCCTCCGCCTGAGACCTCCGCCAGAACTGCATTGCCCCATGCCATTCTCTCTCCTCTCTTTCCCCCTCCAATCCATGGCATCCTCTTCATCTGCCGGAGCATTGGCATTGTAAGAGATGGAGTCTCTCTCTTTCCTGTTTATCTCTGTCTTCTCTTTCTCCCTCCTCCGAACCTCTCTGTTTTCGTTCTCTATCCTCTGTCCAACCTCGCCATCGTTCCAATATTCGATGGCCCCATTCTCTCTCTTCCCGAGAGAATTACCCAGCATGCGTTCTTTCTCTCTCTTATCTTTCTCTCTCCTCTCTCTACCCTCCTCGTTTCCTTCATCCATGGATCCATCCGCTCTCCTCCCACGAGGAAAACCCAATATGGAGCCACCCAACATGCTATCTTTCTCTCCCAACTCCATCTCTCTCTTATCTTTCTCTCTCCTCTCTCTAACCTCTCTATTTACAGAGCATCGAATCCATGAAAGGCTCCTGTTGAGGTCGAAATTCATAGCCCCTGCTCGAACGACCCTGTTCTGAGCCAGGTCTTTGAGGCCAGCCTCTGCTGCTAAATCTGGAGGTGGGTTTGGTGGTTCTTTTGGAGGGGATTTTAGCCCAAATAAGAGAGATCTCAAGGACCTGGTTTTGGGTTGGTTTGGTGGCCACTCCATGCTTATTTTGTTTTGTAGAGAGAAAAAGAGGAAGGGATAAAGATTAGAGAGAGAGGGGGGGAGGGGCTAAGGATGAGGTGCGCTAAACCAGGTGGAGGGGGGCGGGGTCAAATTTTGGAGGAGGTTCGCCAAATTTAGAGGTGGAGAGATAAATGAAGCAAAGCGGGGAGGGGTGGAGTTAATTGTGGGGGCGCATGTCGCTCTGGCAAAGCAACGGCCAGAACATTCGAGGTAAGAAAATAAAACAAAACAAATTTATATGAGATTTTTAGAGAGAGAGAAGAGGCGCGGCTTAGAGAGAGAGAGATATATATGTGCTAATGCGTGTCTCCGTGTGCGCGCGTGTTAGAGAGAGAGAGAGATAGACCAGGAAGGGGGATTTAAAATCGTGAGAGAAGGGAGACATATATGAGAGAATAAATTTACCTAGAAAAGAGAGATCCTACACAGAAATGGACTGACTTCCGGGCGTGGCGTGCTATTCGGTATTCATTTTCGAAAAATCCAACTGCCCTCCCAAAACAGCCGTAAATCGGCCCATTCAAATCACCTAATCAAACAAGCCCGGCCCGTCTAAAAATTTATTTAAAAAATACAAAAAATGGCAAATGTATATTTAAATTTTGATTAGGCGGGCCATGTTGAAAAATAGTTAAATTTTTTAAAAAATTTGATCTTTGCCCAAGGGTATCTTAAAATTTTTTTTAAAAAAGATGAAAAAAATGTAAAAATAAGTATTCATCTTAAAAAAATACATTACAAATAAATCTTTTACTTTTTTGAGATTTTATAATTTTGTCAATTTTTTTTAAATACCCGACCAGACCATCAAAACTTACTAAAATCAAATCAACCAATGCCCGGTTCCAATTTGACCCGCCGGTTCTTAGTTTACAAACACCAGTATTGATAGAGAGAGAGAAAGAGTTTTAGAAAGAGAAAATTTCTAGAGAGAGAATATCCAGGGAAATGGGCAAATGGGGTGTGCGTAGAGAGAGATTCTCTTGTGTATCGAGAAGGGGGACGAAATGGCAGTGCCAGCTATATTCTTATGCCCTTTCTAAAACCGTGACATCATGCGCCAGTGCAAGAGCCTAGTTTCTGATCGAAAACCGTGGGGTATATAAATAAAGCCAAAGGATTTTCTATTCCTTCAGGACTATACTGTTTATTTTTCCCTCTAGTTAAATCTCAAAATTAATTTTTGGACCACAATAAAAATATTCCCTAATACCCTTGAAAATTAATGTCTCAATATTGAATAGATACCTTTCAAAATTTAGAGGGCAAGATCTAAGTGTTAGAAAATTAAAATTTCAAAAAACAATTATTAGAGAATAATCATCTAGTAATTCTTAACTGTAATCAAAATCTCAAATTGAAAAAATATCATAACAAATAATCTTGGTCATAGACTATGCTCCCAAGTATATGTGCACATAAAACCATCTATAAATCAAACAAAAAAAAAAAAAAAAAAAAAAGGGAAAATGTGATACATTTGTGTGCCTAAAGGGTGTGGTTTGTACAAAGCAAGATCCTAAACAATCAAAGGCGTACCTATAAATAGTGTTGAAAGACATTGTTTCAGTACTAGAAAATCTTTGTGATGGCCGAAAGTTTTATTTTTATATTTAATTATAAAACTTAAAACTCAAAAAATATTGTCGATCAGGCAAATCAATGAACGCTTGAAAATCTTGAAAATTAACAGTCCAAAAAATACATACATGATGCACTATCCAGTATTTGAAATCCATTTTTTCTTATGTTCATACATCTGAGATCGAGATTTGTGGACCTTTGATATTTATATTTCTTTGATTTGCGGAAATTCCTAACTTGGTAATATTTAGAATGTCTTCAATTTCAAATTAATACGAAGAAATAAATCGTTTACGTGTCCAATGCGAGAGTTATACATGGAAATTGGCCAAAAATGGTACAGCCAATCAGTTCATAATGAAAAGAAAAATCAATCTTTTTTTACCCTTTTTTTTTAAACGTTTTTCCAAGTAAAAAACCATCACAAGGCTAAATACCCAACCACTAAGAAGTAAAATATGCAAAAATCTGTATATAAAAAAAAAATCAGAAACAAACCAAATACCAAGATTTACATGAAAAATCCTTCAAAGAAAGAAAAAACAGATGAAATCTACTATGCAAAAACATAATTATAATAATTCTTCCTAAATTAACTTGAAGATTAGGAAAAAAAAATATAAGAAAAAAAAATAGGGTTACCTCCGTGGGATCTATTACATTTTCCCACTTTCACCGGAGAAAGTAAGCTTCAATTATGTGGAAATCCCCAAACCTTTTGAGATTTTTGGAAGAAAAACCCTCTCAATTTTTTGTGCACATCAAGAAACCCTAGACTTTTGGCCCACTTCTCTTTAAACAAAATTCTTTTTTATAAGAAAACCTAATTATTAATTTCTAAGGATAAGGGTCATAAAACAGTCGAGGACACAAGAGGAAAACTTTGGATTCGGAAACTTTCCTCATTTCTCAAAAGGGCAAGCTTTCTATGCTTCTCCTACGGCATAGAAGTTTTATCCTCCCCTTTATCCAACCATCCATTGTGAATGGAGGGTTAAGATTGCCCCAATCACAATGTCACGTCTCTACACTATTTTATTTTTAATTTTTTTTCTATAAACTATTTTGACACCAAATTTTGAACGTCAATTCCTCTATTAAACTCGCACTAGCGAGTAAATAAAAAAAAAATATTTCAATAAAATTAAATGACCAAAATAGCCCTGAAAGTTTCAAAGGTTATTTTGGTCATTATATGTTATCGAAAAATTATTTTTAATATTTTTTATAGGTGTGACCCAATGAGAAGATGACACGTACCAAATTTCATATTCTTACAATTTGTATAAAAAAATTAAAAATAAAATATTTTGAGACGTCGGGTCTAAAGATCAAATGGTGAGTGGCTCTCTTGATCAAAATTGGACGGCTGGATGGTAGGGGAGGATAGAACTTCTATGTTGTAGGGGAAGCATAGAAACCTTTCCCTTCTCAAAAATCGTCCACGAGGCATTTATCTCTACGAAAATATAGCTTTGTAGCTCATTAGTGGTAGGCAAAATTGTTTTTTATATTAAATTTCAAAAAATAAAAGACATCAAACAGCCGACGATGCAGACGAAATCTCAACGTTCGAAGCCACTACTTGGGGCGAGTACTCAGCCTGAGTCCGATCCGAGTACTGAGCCTAAGTATGAGTAACTCGACCCTAGTAGGGCCGAGCATTATAGCAACAAAAAAAGGTTAAAATAATTAAAAAATACAAAAAAGAATTAAGAAAAGTAAAATCAAGTAAAACATATCAAAATGAAGTTAAAAAGTAATTAAAAAAAAAAAACAAAGTTTAAAAATTAACTTCTAACTGAGGTCTCTTCGAAATAATCGAAAAAATGGGGAAAATATAAAAAACAAGCATTTATGAACAAAACACTTTTCAATCTTTATCAAAATGATGAGAAAATGTAAAAAATAATATATATATATATATATATATATAAGTAGTAGGTAGGAGAACGACGACGACAAGGAGGAGAGA